AGACTAGGCCAAAGCATCTGACTGCACCTTGTAGGGTAGTAAATGAAAGAATGTGTTCTCTGGGTAGGAGGGAGTGCTGTATGACCCTGTCCATTGATTTGTCTAAAGAATTTGGCACCGTGGATTGTGTCCTTTTTTGATGCATGGAAATACATCTGTTGGTTTTGACACAAATGTATGTAACTGGTATGTGTCACTGCCAGAACACTTAACAAACGTTGCAAGCTGTCATCAGTCTAGTTCTCTTGAAGTCGTGAGGGGGTCAAAGTTAGGTCACACTGTACATACACTGGACAAAAATATAAACTGAGCATGCAAATGGTCTTCTTTTCCCGTTGGTTTTACAGAAATACTAAGAAATGTCACTAAGCCTCGCATTAATTTTAGCTAATTGTGCACAAAAAGTTTTTGAGCTGGGGACATATTCTCAACGATGGAGGTAATTGACAGCCTGTGGCTTTTAAAGGACAAAGACCCACTTTGACCAGGAAGGGAATTTCTGTGTGTTTCTAAGCATCCCAGACTATTTCTCATTGTTTCTAAATGTTCCATCGTGTGTGTTGTTGTTTCAGTGTTCCAGAATGTTTTTGTCTTTGTTTTTGAATGTTGAAGATTCTTTGTCATTGTTTCNTTTTTTGTGTAATAAAGGCTCTTGATTTTCTGTGGGTCTGTTTATACATATATAATTATTTTCTTGATACATTCTTAGGATACCATAGGGAATGAGTGCCTTACTCTCAATTCTTTTCCCCTTATTAAGTAATGGATGTCAGTCAGTTTCAACTTTCCCAGGCCTATGTTGTTCATCTAGATATTTTTGGTACATAAGTCAAATAAGATTAATTTATATTCTTCAGGCTACTTTCAAGGACCTGCATTTGTCTAAACATAACTCTAATTATTGAACTCTCTTCTATGTCAGTCCTCTTTTGTTTACAGTAGTTTCATATTATTATTATAAATGTCCTGAGTACATGTTGTTCTCTCTTTTCTCTCAGACATGGCCTCAGCTCCTGCACAGCAGCCCACCCTGACTGTTGAACAGACCAGAGGTAATAGAAACTGGTTTAGATCTACACAAGTTATTTTTTGTAACTCTTTCACAGGTGGTCCATATTGTTACTAAAGAAATAATGGATAAGCACTTCTTGCTTTTGCAGACTAGAATACAGGAAGGTACTGGTTGCCCACCGTTGCCAACCGTTTGCTCAGAGAGAATCCAAAGGCAACTTTGGATTGTTGGGTTCTCTGTTTAAATTTGTAAGGTCTATACCTTACTACGTATGTTGTAAACTGCACTATACAAACAAAATTTGTCTTGTGTGTTTGGGTGCTGAGTTGCAGGTAGGCTGGAGTTCACTTGTAATGAAATGCCCTTGCCTTGCAGAGAAACTACAGATGTATGTTTGTATATTTTGCAGTGGTTTTGAGTGAGGTGATCCAGGCCTTTTCGGTACCAGAGAATGCTGCACGGATGGAGGAGGCTCGAGAAAGTGCTTGCAACGACATGGGCAAGATGCTGCAGCTGGTGCTGCCTGTGGCCACCCAGATTCAACAAGAGGTGATCAAAGCCTATGGATTCAACAATGAAGGAGAAGGTGAGCTTTGCTTCTTCTTTTGTAACCTCACAGATGAAGACCGAGCAATTAATAAACAGTCCGAAAACAATTAAAGTAGATGAATCAGCCGTGAAACAATCATTAGGCTGAAATTAATGATAGCTTTTAGTTTGTGTGCTGTTCATTGGTGCTGGGTGATGCAGTATATTGGCACTGAGAATTGATATCATGATACTAAACTTGATCTTATCTGGTATTTGGTTATTGTACTATATTGTAAAGGTGTTTTAAATGTAAAAATGACATCTTTTAAAATTGCTCTGTTCAGTTTGAGCAGAAGAAATAGATGCTGCTCCCCATGTCTCCCTCATGTCCACGTTTCTGACCATTTTATCCTCCAAAGGTGCTTGCACATAAATATCTAAAAGCACCAAGAGTCACCCCCACAATACTGTTATATAAATATACAATGTTGTGCACAAGGTTTAGGCACTTTTATATATTTTTATTCTTATTGATCACACAATAACCTCAGCTACTATAAATATACTCCCGGAGTCATGAAGAACTCTCTTGAGGAGAAGCAATTGCAAAAGATGCAAGAGACATATGCTGGTAGAAAGCTGTTATTGGTGTGAGTTAATGTATTTTTTTTCGACACTCAGTGCTCTCTATACAGCAGCTTATTTATCATGGAACAGCTACACATTAAAACTCAAAACTTAATACGTTTTACCATGATAAATCTGCTTTTAGGACTGTCACGGTCTCATAATGTAGGATACACTGAAATCTCTTTAGCTTTGACCTAATCAAAGTGAGTTCAATGTTACTGATTGAATGTTCTCTGTGATAAATACCAATAGACTAGTCAATCTTCACATCTGATTTTCTAAACCTGCACCTATGGTTTGTCTACTGTAACTGCACAGCTTCGTTCAGTGGCATTACTTACAGACGACTCAGCAGAGTTGCAGATAAAATGTATTCCTTCAGCTGAGCTTCTGTGTTGCTCAGAAAGCACATGGTCAGGAGAAGGGTTGGAGAAAGGGCGACACTTCTAACAACCGATTGAAATCCCAAACTCTGAACAGAACTTCCTCTGGAGCGACTTAATTAATCAGCACCAGTTACCATAGTTCAATTCAATTCAATTTTATTTGTATAGCGCATATTTACAACAACAGTCATCTCATAGTGCTTCACAAAGGCAGAGACAGAAACACCCAACAATCCAAAACATTTGGATTCCCTATAAGCTTCAGCAGTCCGCAAGCAGTCCGCAACAGTGGGAAGAAACCGAAAACCCCCACAGGGATTTAGCCATCCTTCATGGCTTTTAAAACTCTGACTTTAGGCCTAACATACTTTGTTAACCCATTAGTCTCACTTCCTACTACACCTCTCTGATCTCCAAATCATCAAGTTTATCTGGGATTGCATGAAGAAACAGAGGCAACTGGGACAGATTAAATCCACAGACGACCTTGTAAGACACGTTTACCAACCTACCTGCCCAGTGCTTTGAAACACTCTGCCAATGGTAACTACAAGAACTGGTTCCATTTTAGAGGCAAATGACCTTACAAGCACCACATATTGATGTAATTGACCTGTTTCTGCTTATTGCAAGTTTATTGATAAATGAAAACGAGTCATTGCATTGTATTTTAAAACATCCTCACTTTACTTTTAGTTCCTAAAGCCTTTTCACAGTCCTGTACAGGGCTGCAAGGTGGGGCGATGGTTAGCATCGTTGCCTCGCAGCAAGAAGGTCGCTGGTTCGCGTCCTGGTGAGGACACCAGGGAACTTTCTGCGTGGAGTTTACATGTTCCCCCCTATGCAGCATGGGTTCTCTCTGGGTTCTCCGGCTTCCTCCTGGTTGTCTGTCTCTAAGTGTAGGCCGGTGATAGACTGGCGATCTGTCCAGGGTGTCCCCTGCCTTCGCCCTAAGTCAGATGGGATAGGCTCCAGCCCCCCTGCGACCTTAATGAGGACTAAGCAGTGTATAGATAATGGATAGATGTATGGATAGTAGTGACTGTATTTGATCAAAATTGTCAGCTTCACTACTTACTGACTGCATGCTGTTCTGATTAGATGATCCGACTCACAATGTTGATCTTGGCTCTGCTTCATTTTTAGGTGTCCTTAAATTTGCCAGACTGGTGAAAATGTATGAAACCCAGGACCCTGAAATTGCAGCTATGTCAGCCAAACTAAAGTCTCTCCTCCTGCCGCCTCTATCAACACCACCTATAGGAGGTGCCATTCCAGCTTCATAGGAATTGTTTACTTCATTAGTTAACTGCAAGGTTGCTTTTATTTAATGATACTGTGTTTCCAAGATCCTGTCTCTCATCTGTCTTCTTTTTTTTTGTGTTAAAGTTATCGTTTCAAAATGCTAATGCATTCCAAGGTGAAATAACATTTTTATATTATGGTTTGATTTATCTTATTATATTATAGCATCCTTGCAGACCTTTGTTTATTTATTTGTTCCATGTTACACTATGAACATTTTCTTATGTCATTGAACCTGAAACATTTACTTTTATGCCATCTTTTATACCATTTTATAAAGTGTCAAATGCCATTTTGTTATATGTTCTAATTAAAATGTTTTCTCTGACTTTGTGTGGTATTAATGGAGAAAAAAAGAGAGAAAAAGCTCTAATTTCCATATACATACTTTATTGTTGCAGTTAGTCTTTATATGTTTACTGCATTTTTAAAAACACTTAATTGCTTACACACATTTACATATATACATCTCCTCAAAGGCAGCTGTCCTTAGACTCTGTACTGTTTGAGATTAAAACATTAATATTCCAACATCTAAAATCTGGGTACATCTCTGCTCCCTTTCTTAGTTTTAAGGAGTTTTAGTTTTGGATGCATGCAAACATGATGACAGTATCATGGCAGGACAAGTTCATGATAAAAACAACTTTTAGTCAAGACAAATAAAGTGACCCAGATTCTGAAACCATCCACTAAAAAGTGCTACTCAGTTACATTAATCATAAAGTGCTCAATTTTTTAAAGGCAAACAGTGCAAAACTAGTGCGGTCAGCACCCAGTGATGTGACAGCAACGTGGAAGACATCAAGAAGGGGACGATACTGTTGTACTTCTATTTGTTTGTCCTGTGCATTTTATCCAGCAGCTATTCAGATTCAATGTAACAGCTATGTATGTAGAAAAATAAAAGTACTCCAAGAGTGAAACTATGTTTAGTTTCTTCCACCTGGGAGTCAGTTGTCACCTGTTTGTGTGTGAAGGTGATTTTACTGATACATAAAATCAAGTCATTAAGTCTAACACACCCTGACTGATGAGACCTCCATCCTGTGCTGAACAGCGTTCCAGTCCCTCGGCTCCTGAGTCACAATGATAGAAAAGAAGCAGGTAGCAGAGCAAGACAAGGGAGGAAACCTTCACATCTCAAAGTGACGGAAAATGTTCTCAACATATCCCAGCACCCTCTGCCAGTCGGGTCCGTCTGCCTTCAGCATCTCCTCCACTGTCTACCACACAGTTAAGACAAGAAGGTCAAGGATGGAAGAGCAACAGACATGTTACTGCACTTACACTGGAAATGTGACTGGCGCTGTTAGTTAAAGTTGAATCATTTGTAATTTTCCCAAATACATTTGTGTAACTCTGAACAATTGGAGTACAGTTCACACAGAAAAATGGCTCACCAGTGTGGCTGTGATTCCCACACTCTCTCCTGTCTTAAAAGCAAGGTCCAGGTTTTCTTTCTGTAAAAAAAAAAAAGAAAAAATCACAGCTTTTACAAAAGCTTACCTACACACTTCCACAGACTTTCATTATTGGATTTCTAAATATTTACATGTATACCTAGTTTTGTTGATTCATGTTACATACCTTGTACATTTCTAACTGGGTAGTTGATAAATCTTTTACTTCTTCTTTGTAACTGCAAAGACTTTTGAGACTTGTTTCATTGAATTAACTTGAATGTCACTGTAGTTACAGTATACAGCAGAATTAAGTTACCTCTGGGCAACGTCACTTAAATACAAAATAATTTAAAACTGTATCACCTCTCAGTAACTGCTGATAATGTCATTGTTTCTAAATTCAACAATAGAATATTTCCCATATGAACAATCAAAAACAAATATTTTAGAAACACTATATTGAAAATGCAGATTTCAAAGCAGAATCTCAGTGTGACCTGAAGCCCATAGAACCTCGTGTGGGGTATTGTCAAGAGGAAACATCCAACTCAAAATACAGATGAGCTCAAGGCCTCTATCAAAGCAACCTGGGCTTTAACTACACCTCAGCAGGGCCACAGGCTCATCACCTCCATACCACGCTGCACTGATGCAGTTATTTGGGGTAACAGAACCCAACCAAGTACTGAGTGTAGAAATTAACCTGCCCTTCAGAAGTTGAACGTTTTTACATTGTAATTTCTTTTTTGATTGATTTTAGGAAATTTTCTAATTATCTGACACAATGAATTTCAGACTTTTGTGAGCTATCATTGGCTAATTGAGCAAATTAATAAAATTAAAACAAAAAATGACCTAAAATATTTCCCTTTGCATGTAATAAATACAGACTATATGACATTTTAGCTTTTGTGATTAAATTATGAAAAAAAACATCCAAATTTTTTGAGCTGCAGCTGTAGTCGTGACTGTGAAGCACAGAGGTGGAAGGGTGATGATATGGGGGCTGCATGAGTGCAACTCTGGTTATTTTAAATGTGCTATGTAACTAAACTTGATTTGAACGTGTACAGTAACAGTTTTACCTTTTCAGCCGGGTTGAGGTTGTCATAGGGGATGTGAGAGGGCAAATATGTGTGATAAACAGCACAGAATGCCAAACCATCTTCCCAGCTGCTGCTGAAGTTGGTGATGTCAATATTCTGTCACAAAGCATTAAAAATAAATAAATAAATAAATCAGAGTTTTTTCTTATTGGGGAAATTTTTTATTCCCTGTTATTGATGTACACTAAATTCCTAAATTTATATACGAGGTGTGTCAGAAAAGTTTCAGGACTAGTGTCACAAAAGATATATTTCAAATCCAAACTACAAACTACAAGTTTTCCCCTTCAGCTGATCAACCAGCACGTCTACAAAGAGATCCTGTGGTGTTTGCTTCATTCAGTGAGAAGAGGCAACAGTGGTGGCAGGACAAGTCGGGGTTGCTTCACCATGACAACGCACCTGCTCACAATGCCCTGAGCATCCAACAGTTCCTGGCTGAGAAGAACATCGCCGTGCTGGAGCAACCTCCCTACTCACCCCACCTGGCTTCATGAGATTTTTTCCTCTTCCCCAAGCTCATCAAGGAGACCCGTTTCGAAGAAATGGATGACATCAAGATGGCTGCGACGACAGAGCTGCAGAGGATCCGGAAGAATCCTTCCAGGAGTACATGGCAGTGTGGCAGAGAAAGCTGGGAAAGTGTGTTAAACTCCAGGGGGATTACTTCAAAGGGGAAAACGTGTAGTTTGTAGTTTGGATTTGAAATATATCTTTTGTAACACCAGTCCTGGAACTTTCCCGACACACCTCGTATATAGTAATTTCAAATATCTGAATGTAGAAATGTGCCTCTCTAACCTTGTAGCCTTGGGTACGATTCTGACACCAGCGCAGCAGTGAGTTTCTTCTGGAGCCACCATGTCGCCTCAGCAGAGCACTGAAACCATCCTGAGGTCTGTAAAGGCAACAAAACATTTCAATCATCAGTCTGTTATTCTTGACACACAGTTTGAAGAATAACTTTACTTGTCCAACAGTTACAAGTCACCTAACTAGACAACATGAGTGACAGTAAAGTAAGCAGAGCCAGATACGAGGCTTGAAAAATAGCATAATATAAATCAAAAAGATATAAAATCATAGAAGTCGTTTTAAAATGTTTTTAGCTTAGAAAGTAGTGGTGCAAAAAATATAGCTGTCATCCTTAGTAGCAATTCTAGATGTAGGACCTGGAAGCCAACCTCCTTCTGCAAATTGAAGTGTGCAAAGTTTGACATTGTTATTTGCATGTAAAATGCTAAACACTCATCAGCCTCTTTGTCTCTTTCACAGAAACTTCAGCCTGCTTGAACGTCACTATTAACAAGAAAGAAAGCTTTAAAGCCACTTACTTGAAGGAATCTGAGCTTTGATCCTCATCCTGTTTTCCTACCATGAAGAAGTGTAGCCACAGTTACACAAGTGTACACTATCGGTCAAATAACTCAGTGATGGTTTGGCAGGTTCCAACCCACCTGTATAAAAGCTGGACCAACTGTCTTGCCGCTGTAAAATACGGTCCATCCTTCTCCCTTTTGTTGGCTCTTCTTTCTAGAGGAGAAGGACACAATGGACTGATTCTACACAAGATGACAATAATCATATCGGTGCCTCCTAAGATTCCATATGATCCTGACGGGGTAATTATCAATTCAAGCAGTGTAGTACCTTGCATAGGGGCAATGTTGTGCTTGTGTTTTTTGAAGCCCCGTTTTGACCAGAAGAGTCAGTTGGAAGTGGGAGACGAGAGAGACTCCTAAAGAACAAAAATGTGCATGTTTATCAGATTTTGTATGTTAACAGTGGTGTTAACTTTCATGTGCACTCACCAAGATCTTTCAGACAGCATCACAATCTTCCTCGGATCTTTCTGTTCACGTCCGTCTTCTTTCTTCTTCTCCAGGGCTGCCAAGCTGCGAAGGTATCCTTCCGCCACCCCTCTCCCTTTCAGCTGCATGTTTCCTGATCCATTCGTGTCTTCAGGATCAGCAGCGACTCGTGTAGTGTCCTCTTCTTGATTTGCTTTATTCTCATCTTTAGCTTCAGTCTCTGTTTCAGCTTCCTCTGTTACTTTCTGTGTTCCCTCCTGCTGTCCCCCTTCATAGTCATGTCTATCTGCCTGTTCATCTGTTGGTCTGTTTTTCATCCTGCAGATGTTCTTTAGTGCATTCAACTGAGCTTGTTCCTGCTGCTGAAGACTGAGTTCATTTAGTTTGTCACAGACATCTCTGTGCTCGGTTTTCAGGCTCTCCAGCTCTCGGTCGGTCTCTTGCTGTCTGCTGAGGGCCTGGGCCAGCTGCTCCTCCACAGACCTGTGACTCTCCTGAAGCAAACCCAGAGCCTGCTCTGACTCGACCCGCAGCCGGTCGGCCACAGATACTGCAACCTGCAGGTCACACTGGAACTGATGCCACTCCAACCTCTCTGTCTGGGGAACAAAAGAAACACTGTAATCTGAAGGTAAAGGCTGCTTGTTGTCAGTATGGCCGTGTGACTGGTGTTTCCATAAAATTGGGTGTTGGACACGTCACTTGACTCTTCTAGAACTCTGAAGCTTTGAACTTCATACATTACATGTGCATTCAGGTCTGACACTGTCCCATAATGAAGAATACATGGAAATCACTCTAGTTTTTAGCCAAATCAAAGTGAAATGATTGCTATTGATTGAATATTGTCTGTGATGATTACCAACAAACTAACCAGTTTTCTAACCTGTGCTCTATTAGCCGAGTGCCAGCAGTGTGAAACAGACTCGGCAGCAAAATCAACCAATAAAAATTTTTTGCATCTCATCCCCCGAATGCATGTAGGTTCCTGTGGCACTGTGATGCATACTGTTCAAGAGGTTTGTCGACATAATGTATCTCCTCAGCTGAGAATATCTATTGCTAGAGAACATTGTCAGGGAAAGAATTATTGAAATGCTGCTTTTAACAGCCGATTTAAATCCCAAACTCTGAACTTAACCTCTTCTAGAGCAGGTTAGCTGAGCAGCATCAGTTACCATGATGATCTATGAGGATAAAAGGGAACCATCTTCATGACACTGAAAACTCAGGCTTTAAGCTCAATATACCTAGCTAACCCATCAACAATCTAACTTCGCAATACAGCCTTCTGATTGCTCACTATATGTGTGTGTGTGTGTGTGTGTGTGTGTGTGTGTGTTTGTATATATACACAATACTTGGATCAATTCAGTACTCCAAGGCACAAGCAAATTACTTTTTTTTTTATTTCTGTCAGTATATGCAGGTTGTTTGAATGTGCACTGTGTAGTCATGTCCCAGGACATTTAAAGTAGTTTAAAAGAAAAAAGAAAAAAAAGAAAGAAAGAAATATAAGAAAAAGTAAACACAATCAGAGGTGTTATTTTCAATACTGTGGCCAAGGACATTGGGTAGTGAACAAAAACTAAATTCATTTTTGGTATTGTACAGCAAATAAATGTTGTTACATTTAGGGCCTGTAGATGTGGAACTGATTCAAGAATGCAGTAAGAACTCACTCTGAGTGTCTCCCTGAGTGTGTCCACCTCCTCAACCAGCTCCTCTCTCTCTGTTATCAAACGTCTGAGCAGCTCTGACAGAGAAGTCAGGAAAAAAAAAATAAAAAAATCAGAATGAATGAAAACAGATTGACAGTAGGACAAGTATATTCTTCATTCATTTCTCAAGGGCAACGTCATTCATGTTGCACCATTCACTAAAATGTTTAAGTGAACAGGACAAAGATGGGGCTAACATTAATGATCACTGTTTATTTAGCCATCACAGGGAGCCTGTATGGATAATATCAGACATATCAACAGGCACATGTAAGGGCAGAATGTCTGCTTTGGAGGAAATTGAACAGTAACAGTAACAGATTTAAAAAAAAAAAAACAAAAAAAACAAAACTGAATGTAGTATTTTATGTATAGATTTCTCCTTACTTGTCTGCTTACCCTATATACAAGGGTAGCTGTATAAGTTACACTCTACTGAGCTGCTTATGATCCATTTTCTGTATAAAACTGGTCAGTGATAAGTCCCAGTGCTGCTTGCGCTGATGACTGAGCTGGATGATTGTGACTGAATTCCTCTCAGGTTTTGTGTTTTACACATGTCTACTGTATGTATATATACTGTACGTTGTATCATAATCAGAAGACAAATTTCCTCTGGGGACAAGTTTCTAAACTGTGATCAGATGAGTTTAATTTTATTCACTGGTCCACTGAGATATTTCAGTGCGTAAAATGATGTATGAGCAGAGTCTGACTCCAGAAGACAGTTTTCTCATTCAAAAGGAGGAAATTTCTCTATACCTTAAAGTTCAATGTACGTAAAAGGATGATTTTGTGACATCAGAACTAGTTTGAAAGCTAACTGTGGCCCAAGCCAAGTGTGGTCTCTGACAGTGGACTTTTTAGTAAAGCAGGTCATCTTTGCAAATGAAGAATATTGGCATATTCATAGATTCTGGGTTTTTAGTAAATGAGAAGAAATGAGAAAAGATGATTATTGTGTTCTAAAACACACATGGAGAGGCTTCTCAAGTAGATCCAAAGAATAAAGTTACAATTTTAAGCTGGTTTCATCAATATCATGCAAATAGGTACACACAGTGTGAAGAGATATTTACGCCTGGTACAAATACATAAGTAATACTACATACTATTGTTAGTTTACATATTTCAGTTTAATTAGTTTCACTGCTTATCCATGTGCACTGTTTAAAGACAGCCTGCAGTTCAGATGAAAAATAGTGAAATTTGTATAATGACCATTTGTTGCAGCTGAGTCACAAATGGCATCATGATTGTGCTGATGAGTGCCACATTTTGTAATTTTACAAAACCTCATGAGTTAAACTAGTATAATTTTTGATGACTTTATAAATGAGACATGTAGAATAAAGGGAGGTTGTTGTTTTTTTTTAAAAATTAAGTAAAATGTCATTATTTTAAGCTTAGATTTAGTTTTGTGATGAAACAGCACATCCCAGGTGAGTAGTTTGATGACAGTCTAAAAGTTGAAAATCTGACAATCCCCTATTTTTTTTTACACTTTCTGGTTCCAACAAATAGTGGAATTTTGGTAAAATTAAAAAACGATAACATGCCTTTAAAATCCACCAGGGCATTGTATGGGTAAGAGGGTTTGGTAAACAAAACAAAACAAAAGGAAGAGGTGAAGAGGGCCTACCTACTGCTCCTGTGGTAATATCAGTGTTGGGGGTTAGGCCTAGTGAGGCTCTGTAGTGCTCCATCAGACTGAGTAAAACCAAGGTCATCTCCTCTCCTGCCCGCTCTGCTGCAGCCTGTGGCTCCAGCCCGCTGTCTCTCTCCTGCCAGCCCTGCTCTGAAGGCGAGCCTCTGGACAGAGGAGGCGATGCTGGACTGCCAAGAATGATCGCAGCCTTCTCATGTCCCTCTGCTGCATCGCTCATGTTTGTCTTCGAGGAGGCAACGCTGTCTGCGCTGATTACGGCCCATTCCGAGGGAGCCGACAGTTTCTGTGTCCACTCTGCGGCTGGAGAGGTGGTGGAGGGGGTGGTGCTGCCTGCCGGCGATGGAGTCTGTGCCTTATCAGAGGAGGCTGCAGAGGATAGGGCCATGGCAGTCAGCTCTGCCTGTGAGGGTGTGGTAGGAGGCGTGTGGAAGAAATCTAAAGGAGAACCTGAGAGAGAAAAGAGCTTTAAAATCAGCTAATGTTTTTCTCAATGCAGATGTAAGCACGCTGTGTGCGCTCCTTTATTTACTGTCCTGGGATGACTGATGCAGCAAAAAGCCTCTCCTGCCAATATCTTGCCTGGCAAACACACACGGATCCCCCATGTGGCAATATGCAGGAAGAGAGGTGATTTTACCCTCATCTGCCATCTAACAGCTGCTCTCACCGCTACCGCAGAGTGATTACATCCATCATCAAAGCGGTCAGTATTCTGCATGAACTGTGCAACTCCAAAAAGGCATTTCTGGAGGAATTAATAGTAATTTCATTGATGTATTATGAACAGTTTGGCTTGATTATGAAACATCCTCTAGTGTGTCATCTGTTGCTGAAAACTATCGCTAGAGCTATGTGATATTGGGATCATGCTGAGATTACCCAGTTTACAGTGTGCACATTTTGGCAGACTACAGGGATCTCCACCTGCTTCAACTCCGATCTTTTTATGTTTCCCCTCCTTGTCCTTGTGCTGTGTTCCAGGATTCTGCAGACTCATCATTTCCCTGGCAGCAGTGGATGTAGTCTGCTCAGCTACGGCAGGGGAGCTATTCTCATCCTCGAGCCTGAGCCCACTTCCTGCATACTGACAGCCAGGACATGTAAACCAGGGCTCGCATTTTAAACAGCTGTAAGTGAAAATTAAACCAAGTGAGCGGCCGATCGAACATCTTTAGTTGGAAACAGGACTTGTAAGGCTGTACGGGGCAATTTCACAGATTAGCCGAGCTAAATGACAACCAGTCTGTGACACTCTGAACTGAAAAGACACTGAAGGGAACAAAGAGTCAATACAAGTCTGATGTTGCTGAATCCAGCTGTCTCTGAATCATCTTGTTTGTATTTAATTGTAAGATAAAATTAGTCCTTTTTGTGCCAAGAAATCTTTCTGTGATTATACAATGTCATACAGTGCAGTCATAGAAGCATTCTGGCTTTCTTAGTTTAGTAGAGGTATACTTCAGTTCATAACAAGGTTTCTGCTGCTTTTGCATGATCATCAGTGTGCTGTGGGTAAACTGTACAATGATAAATGTTCTTTGGGACAGTATAATGAAATGTTTCTGTGCTCACCCTTGTTAAGCTGCTGTGTTTAAGTCACAAAATGCATCTGTGATGCCAACAGAAAATAAACTGGATCATACAAAAAGCTTTCATTTTCTGTCTTTATCTTGCATATGTGTGTTTTGCTTTTTACTCTTTTGTAGCACAGAAGAGTAACGTGCACAAACAACCTGATGTTGTCTTCAGGCTTCTGCTGCATCACAAAACAATCAAACTTCTGATTTTTTTTGTTCTGTGTGAAGAAGAGTTTACTTTTCACTTGGAATTACAGATAATGAGACAGTGAGACAAAGTGCATGCGCCACTTTCTTGAAACAAAGAAGACAACAGTCTAAAAATAGTCAGTCTTACAGAAGAACCTCTAAAATAAAGGTGTCCGTTCAAAACTTGTGTGGAAAAAAGCTTGAAAATTGTGCAGCTAAGCAACATAAACCAGCAGTGTTCTTTATCACCATTTTCCACAGTGTTTCAAAACAAAACCATTGTGTATGTTACCTGAAGAACCGTGACTGTCTTTTCCATTCTGATTGCCCATGATCCAGCAGAGGTGGGTATTGTGACAGATAATCCCAGTTGTCCTTCACTGTGCCCTCTATTTTGTAGTGTCTGGACAGAGGAATAAATATAAATTCTGCATTAATAACACTCACTGCTGAACTTTTGATCAGAATAAATATACTCACAAAAGAGCTGTACAATATATTTTTAGGAAATGTTTAATGCTACATCTTCTCACCATGGAAGAGGGACCATAAGTACTCTCCTTTGGTGTTACAATTGTCAAAACCTGCTGTATGTTTGCTATTTGAAAAGAAAAAGTATCTACAGAACAAAGTCAAGGTTATATTAGTTAGTTATGTTGCACACAGTTACCATAAAACCGCACACAGCCTACAACAGGAGTCAGTACACCTCTGTGTAATATCACTTGAAAGTGAAAGGATTTAAAATGACATAATCTCTCAATAACTGCATTATTTTTTAAACAAAATTGATTAATGACACACAAGTTAGAAAACTCATGATCACTAAAATAAAAATGAGTACAGCTGTGATTTCCAATCAGTCTAACTACATGAACATGGTTATACAATGAGGTGTGAAAACCTAACCTCTGTCAGTTCCTGCATGTATGCATCATGGCTCTACATAGGAACTGTAAGACAAAAATCTGACAGGAAGACGATACAAAGATGGAAAAAGGTTACAAAAAGAGTCACAGCACCACTGATCAGAGTCACAGAGGCCGTGCTGCTGAAATAACATTAAAGACAGTGCTCTACTTTCACAATCTAGCTCTAAAAAACAGAAAACAGATGGGAAGGTGCTTCAGTATGTACAAGGGTTATCCAAATAAATCAGCTTCTCTGACAGCTCAGATAGTGTGAGCATTATAGCATAATGTGAGCCTCCATCAATGGCATCCTAGATAAAAAAGCCCTTTGTTTGCTCTTTGGCCCTCAACTCAAGATGAGTGCTGAGATGAAAGGTGAAACTTTACTACAGAGCAAGAAAAGAAGCCTGATCAATACTGAGAGAACATTCTTTGGTCAGATAAGATAAATATGTTCAGCTCAGATGGAGTCCATCATAAACTATAGTGAATGTATCATCCTGACAGTGAAGCACAGAGGTGGGAGTGCTACATCATGGAGTTGCATGAGTGCAAAAGGTGTTGGGGAGACAACATTATTGGATGACACCATGAATGTCTGTGGATATGGCAAATACTGACTGACAGGATGACTCCCAGTCTGCAGCGGCTTGGCAGCATGAGAAATGTCCCGGGATGATCACCATCCAAAGGACACTGCCATCTGAAAACTACGACCTGGAGAAGTATGTTGCCTGACTTGAATCCATTAGAACACCTTTGATGTATTTTAAAGAGAAAGGTAGAGCTACACAACCCCTCCAGCAAAGAGCAGCTGAAAAAAAATGTCTGAAGAATGTTAGAACACCTCTCCAGAAATGTGTGCAACACTGATATCCTCCATGCTGAAGAGGACTGGGTCTGTCATCAGATATAAGGATGAACAAAGTGTTGAAAAGAATAAAAGGCTCGAATCTCAGTAATGTACTGACTTTTGTTGCATTGAGTTTTCAGTGTGGGGCCTTAGGTTAAGAGTACAGACACTGCTGTTAAACTTAGGAGTAGATACGTCATACAATCTTGAATCATATGACATTTAAGTAAGTAGTGTCTAAAAAAACGAGCTTCACGTGTAGCAACATTCTGACTCACATCCAGACTGTGACTCCACCGCAGTGCTGTTTGGGTATATCTTGTGTAACACATGGCCGATTCTCTGCCTTGGAGAATCAACCAAATCCCATTAAATTATCTAGCAATTTAAGGATCCTGTGATTATAGGACAATACACAGACCACAAACATTACAACCAAGACGTGTTACACTTAGGGAACATCCTTGTTAATTCGGCACAATGTGATTTACTCGGACACACTAAGAATCAAAACAGCAGCTTTTTTTTTTCTTTTTTACAACAGCTCATTTGTAGCCACCAGATTTTCTCGGATCGGCCTATCAGGATAACTATCGGCACCATCTAAACTGTACAATTGTTAAATCAACGTGCTGCTTAATTAACATGCCGTATTGAAGTGCACCTTGCATAAATCAACACTATTGCTCGAAATTCGTAGGAGTCCATATTCCTGTTTGTAAGAAGCCACGCAATTCTAAACTGCTCGTTTGGTGAATGAAGTTTGGAGGACACTTTTCTGCAGTTAACAACGTGTGTCGGGACAATTGGTTACATTTTATTGAGCCATTTTGACTGTGACACACGTTGCATCCAAGCAGCCAGCCTGCACACACCAGTAGTTTCATTCATCCTACCTGCTCAGCCTGCCAGCTGGACACCGTCCAGCTCGATCCCCGACTATCGGAGGCTTCTCCCCGGCTGTCTGGACCTCCTCTCTCAGGTCCGTACGTCCCCAATTCACCGGCAGTCACAGGTCGACTCAGTGACGGTCATTTCTCTGCGATATCCCATATTCACCGCAGAGCCTCGGACCAGGCAGCCACCGTCTACAACTTGAGTCCAATTCCCAATAAAATCCAACTCTGCTGCTTCGCCTTTAAATCCAATGCGACAAAAAGCGAGCAGAGAAGCAAACTGGTTGCGCAGCAGCTGCTCGTCTGATCAACGACATGAAGGCTGTTCATGACATTATTTGGAGCTGTGTTTCAAGAAAAGCACACGAGAGCAGGACTCGGAATGATGCTGCTGACACAAAGCAGTCACACCGGCTGCACCGCAATCATCCTCTATTGTTGAGTGCAGGTGTGGAGCAGCAGGTGACTCGTTCACACGGTCTGCTGCTCACCATGTCACACCGAGTCTGTCACAGTGAGCCGAGAACAGCCCGAGTCCCTGTCCCAGACATAACTTATCCAGAGAAGAAGGTCCTTAGAGTGGGACCAAGGCCTGCCAGTGCTGCAATGTGGTCGGTGGTCAGCACTGTCGCCTCACAGTTAGGGGATCGCTGGTTCGAGTCCCGGTTAGGACACTTGTGTGGAGTTTGCATGTCCAAAAAAACATGTTAACTCTAAATTGTCCGTAGGTATGAATGTCAGTGTGCTTGGTTGTCTGTCTCTAAGTGTGGCCCTGCCATAGACTGGTGACCTAAGTGAGCTGGGACAGGCTCCAGCCCCCCATGACCCCAGTAAGGATTAAGCAGTGTATAAATGATGCATAGATTTTATTATGCTGTTCCTAAAAACCCTGCCCTCTCCTCTGTCCCTCCTCAGACCTGTGTGTTTGACCTCAGATGTGCTGTTGCTGTTCTTCAGTTTGGCTGCAGCTCCTCGCTCTCATCTGAGCTCTCAGTCTTGGATTTTTGTGAGACAAGTGTCATGTGTGGTAAGAAGTGTGCGCTTCACTGGCCAGCATCTCAGTTGGCATTCTGCTGGAGGAGATTCTTGACAGAGTTGTTTCACAAAAATCTGAGAGCGAGAGCACACATTTGAAAGCAGAAGTATGGGAAGTGCAGAAGCAGTATGAGGAGGATGTGCATTCAAAGTAAAGCACAGGACATTTGTACAGCAGCAGTATATCTGGGTGCAGAGAACAGTTGGTAGGTGCTTTTTGACAAGAAGGCGGAGGTTTAAGGGAAAGCGTAACATATTCTGAATATAAAACAAAGAAATAATGCTCTCAAACTGAAAGACCATGCTCGTGAATAAAGACAGAAAATAACTATATCTGAGCAGAGCACTTAGTACTAATGTAGAGGAACATGGTTCTGTCTGTGCTCTAATCTCTCTGAGCCAGTGAAGCTAATTTCTGCATGAATCTGACACATCAAATCCACTCCAGACCAAAATGCAATGAGCAATAGGGTGACATCCAGCCTCAAAGCCGTGGAATCACAGGGCGTAGATGTGGGTGTGGTGCTCCTTTGAGT